GTCAGATCAGGTCTGCTGACAAAGGCTGAGGCTGTGACTGAGGCTGTCCCAACAGAGAAGATATCGGACATGGCATTTTGTGGCTGATAAACAGAATGTACCCGTCACCTCTAGTAAAAATCTAAGCTGGAAAATTCTGAGAACTTGTTAAACAAAACTTTGCATCCTTGAAGATGCCCGTGTAAAGCTCTTTGTAATGACAGGAGCTGGGCCGGCTGGATGGTACACACCAGTACCTACGGCACCCAGGAGGATGAGGCTGGAGGACTGTCGTGAGTTCTTGGTTATCCTGGGCAACAGAGAAAGATATTGTCTCAAACGTCAAATAAACGAGGCTGGAAAGATGGCTCAGTGTTAAGAGCACTCGCTGATCTTATAGGGGACCTGAGGTTTGGTTCTCAGCACTCAAATGGCGGCTCACAGCCATCTGTAACTCCAGTTCCAGGGAATCCTGGGCCCTCTTCTGACCTCCTCAGACACCAGGGTATCTCTACACACACGCATACAAACACCCATATGCATAAAATAAATAAAACTAAAACCATGAAAAACCTAAATAAACAAACACGTGAACACAGGGCCAATAGACACATACTCGTGCTGGCAGGACAAGATGGCCTGCCTGGGCACATGCGGACACTTCACTACTCACAGGGATCCTGTCCTCAGCCCCCCTCACGGTAAAGGAGACAAAGAGGCAAACGGCCCAAATCATACAACTCTGCCACATCCTGTGTGACACACGGCATCTGACTTCCCCTGTAGGTGGCCAGAGCTCACACTTAGAGGGACACCCCACCACAGCAACCACGGTGGTCACGGCTGCGTCGCTATGTGATCCAGACCTCCCAGCGTGATCGTCTCTTGCTCCTGTGTGTCCCCTTTGCAGTCTGACTCAAGCTGTGGGAACCAGCGTGACAAGTGTGTGCAGACATTTCTGATGAATATGTTGTCCTTCTGCACTGAACACATCAGCTCCATCTCCATCACCTGAACCCGACCTCGCCTGTGCATGTCTCTGACAGATACAGAGTGACAAGGACAGCAGTGGGAGGAAGGTGTGACTGTGATTAAGCTATCCTTGCCTGCAGCACCTGTCAACCTTGGGCAATTTGTGCAACCTCAAGCAACGTCTCAGCCCTAGGCTAGCTGGAAGGAACTGGTCACGCCTGCGAAGATGTGGCGCCCTCTTCTGGTGGCTGATATATATGACTAGAGTAAATTAAAAAAAGATGTTGAGATTGCTCAGACCTGCTTGGTCCTGCCCGGGAGTGCCCTTGTTTTGGAGAGCTCTGTCGGAAACACATGGGGCGTGTTGCCTACCTTCTCCACAGCCCTCAAGTGAGAGGATGGTGTGTGCAGTGTGTGTGGTTGTATGGCCCCACAAAGTTTAAAGACTGGCCAGAGGAAACATACCCTGGTTCCTCAAACACGGGACAACACGGCTCCCCAGGCTACTGTACCCTGCAATACTTCCTTCCTCCTGTGTAGCCAGGCAACCAGGCCTGAGATGTAACCACAAGGCTGACAGAGGAAGAGCACAGAGGTGTGACACCGTGCCTGCCGAGATTCTCTCGTGAGACCGAAACAACCTTTCAGTGGTATTTTACCCAGAAGCATAAGCTCTCAAAGGGTGTGTGGTGCTGCCTAGTCAAGGATCGCCTCTGGGCAGGAAAAGGCACCGAGGAAGTGTTTCTGGATCCAGTTGACTGGCTCAGAGCCGCCATCAGGTGTAGCCCGTGCGCCAGCCTTGCCTGCAAGCTTCTCTTTTACTGTCTAGTCCGTCCCACCCAGGAGCGCTTTCGTAATGGAAACAGTATCCCACAGCCCTCACCCATCATGTCTAAAATCCTTGGGGGGGGGGTGTCGGCTAGAGGAGACAGTTTTCACTACATTCTACATTTACCTGTTCATCTGACACAAAAACGAAATGGTCTCTAAAAGCTTGGGGCCACAGCCAGCTCAATGGTCACAAAATATGAGGACTGTCAAGGAGGCTGGCTTTCCTGTCAGGCCATAAGCCCACTGGACAGCCGGAGAAGCTCTCATGGAGTGGAGGGCGCTGGTTTCATTTGGAACCATGGATGCACCATCATCGTTTTATGCAGACTCCTCTGGCATATTTCTTAGGTTCTACAGTACAAGTTCAGGCTGGAGGGATGGCTCAGTGGGTCACAGTCAATGCCACACCTGGTGACCTGAGTTAGATCCCTGGGACACACAGGCCAAAAAAGAGAACCAACTTCCAAAATTTGCCCTTCTCTGAGCTACCCACCACTGCAAGCGTGCACACACATACACACACGCACACGCAAGCGCATGTGAGCACATATATATACACACAACCCACAACAACAAAACAGCAACAAAACAAAAGCCCTAAACAAACCAAAACAATAACAACAACAAAACCCCCCAAAAAACAAAAAGTGAAAAACCCTGATAATTTGAGCTTTCTTTGCCCAGTTGTCATTTTCATCTTTGGCCCAGAATGTGTGTAGATTCCAGAGAAGGCCAGGAGGCAATGTTACCAAGTTCAAGGGCAGGGCCCCAGCAGCGCACAGCGTCACACAGGATGGCTGAGCAGTCCCGAGGGTACACGAGGCTTCCCAGCCTCCCTGACTCAGGGGTGTGTGAGGCTGGGACACCCAAAGACAGCAGCTTCCTCACATGCCCCGGGCACTGACTCAGCAGGGCCAGCACGAGCTACACATGCGTGAGGGTGACTCGGATCCAGCTGCAGGCTGCAAAGCAGGAGCTGCTCAGTGCCTGCATGCCACAGGCATGAGCACCACCCTGTCCCAGGCCCCAGGAGCAGCCGTCAGCCGCTGCTTGTGTTGGGGAGAGAGACCTGTAACTTCTGCATTGCCATCGGTGTCACACACCTTCCAGTCGGGGTGAAGGAGGGCCGTCTCGGAGACAGCTTCAGGAATCAGAGCCTTTACATGATTCGAGGAGGTGCTCACTGAGGCCTTGTATGTGATATGGTTCCTGTGTTACTTACATTTTGTGTGTGTGTGTAAGCAGACTTAATGGTAAAGTAAGGGCTGCTACCATTACAAATAAACCAAAAAGCAATTAATTAGGACTAGGGCCACAGCTCAGTGGCGAAGTAGTCACTTATCAGGTGTTCAACTCCTCAGCTCAACCCTTAGCATAAAAACCAACCTAATACAAAAGGTGGCACTTGCTTAAGGAATGCATATTTTGCCTTTTCTTTGGCACCTCTGGTGTGCCTCTGTGTGTACAGATGTGCATTAGTTGTGTGTACATGCTTAGCTCACACAGGCAAAGAATTTACCCCAGAAGACACGCTCAGCACCCTAACACAGCTCAGGCAGACAGTGTGTCCTGTGCTGTGCCTTGCCCTGAATATTTTACATTGGGCACTTCCGGTCAGGTAGCCACACTGCCGACTTCTACTCTTCCCTCTGCCACTGAAAAATGAACACTCCTCTTCCTAAAGACAGGAATGCCCATGAAAATTCCCATGGAAATGGACACAGCCAAAGAAACCAGGAGAGCCCCTACCCACCTTCCTGCCCCCGACTGGCCTGCGCCCACCACAGTTCCATCTCACAGTCATGGTTTTCAGTTTTTGGGTCACACTGTTCCCCAGGCTTTTTTTGTTTTTTAGACACAGGGTTTCTCTGTGTAGCCTTGGCTGTCTTGGACTTGCTTTGTAGACCAGGCTGGCCTTTGCCTGCCTCTGCTGGGATTACAGAAATGTGCCACTGTGCCCTGTCAGGGGTTTTTCAACCACAGGTGCTTGCTCAAGAAGGACAAAGCACAAAAGGAAGAAATTTTGAAGAAACCAAGTTATTCAGGATGAAAAATAACAGAACGCCAGGGTAGACGGCACTGCCCAGTGGAGAAAGTGTGAAGAAAGGCCTTTGCGTAAGCAAGTGAAGGCCAGGTTAGGGAGTGTGGCCAAGGGTTACCGGCCTTGAGGGACTGCAACCCAGACTGTGACCTGGGCCACCATCCCTGCAGTGGCCTGGCCTGGCTGCTGTTTGCTCTTGGGACAGTGAACCACGAAGGCTGGCTCTCTACCACACTTCCCTTTTCTTTTCTGTCTGAGTGGAAGAGAGAAGACAGCAGTGCCCCTGGGGACAGGCCAGCTGTGGGAGCCCAAGCGAGAGGGAAGTCATGGAAGAGATAACCACATCCCACAAAAATCAGAAGAGGGTGTTTGTCCCTTCTGAGGAGGAAACAAAACGCTTGTGCGCGGCGGTGTGTGTTCACGAGGCAACAAGAAGGTGGCATGGTGGAGACCACCCTTCCCTGATAAGAGCTGACTCACTGTGTGCAGCCAGCCCAGCGCAGCAGGGCACAGGCTTTGGCAAGCTCACTTCCTCACCAGTGTTGTTTCAACATTGTGGGGCTTGCTGACGTCCACAGACTGGCAGAGAGGGAGACTGTGAGGAGCCTTAGGGCTACAGAGAGCAAACATGAACACAAACGAACCCGAACCCCAGGTGACGTGGGAGAGGGTCTGCGGGAGGGCAGGGAAGGCGGCCTGCTCGCCTCACCCCTGTACGGGTGTGTTTAAAACGAAGTATAGGCTGAGGAGATGGCCCAGTGGGTAAAACGATTTGCTGCATATATGTGAGGACCTGCATTTGGAGCCTAGAATCCACGTAAAACCAAGAGCAACAGGGCACATCTGTGATTCCAGGTCCGAGAGGAGAGGGAGGTGAACACCCTCTGGAAGCTCACAGATGTGTGCAACAGTGGACGAGATACCTTGTTTCACATGAGGACTGACACTCAGCTTGTCCGCTGACTTCCATGCCTGCACTATGTCACACGAAAGTTTGTATTCAAAACTACACATGCACATAAAGACAAAACCAAGCCAAATCAGAAGCAAGAACTGTAACAAAACCTCCGCAAAGACTAGGATGGGCCCGGGCTCCTGAAATACAGCTCCCCTGTAGAATGGGTGTGCTCGCAGTCCAAGCAGGAAACCGGGGCCTCTCCTCTACGCTCCCACTTACCAAACACATCGCTGTCTTCTGAGTTGGTCTGAGAAAGCTTGCCCACGCTGCTTCTCTTCTTTTCAGCGGCTCCTTTGTGAATCTCACCATCCTGAGAAAAAAATAACACACCAACAAACACAGACACATTCAGATACATTTTTTTGTTTGTTTGTTTGTTTGTTTGTTTGTTTTGCAACAAAAGCCATTCTCTTCTAGGGAGTGGTGGGGCTCAGCTCAGCTTAGACTCTTGCTCTGCCTAACCACTTGCTCAGGCTCTGGGTCCAAGTGGATGGTCTCACATGAAAGGATGATACAATATAGTAGCCAGGCTATTCTTGTTTTTGCAGACAGGTTGCCTGCCTGGGCACTCTTGGATTTTAAATGGCTATGGGTTCTATGTCCCTTAAAATATGTCTAGGCTGTAACTTCTGGTGTCTGGGACTCTGACCTTGGGTGGAAATGGGGCCTTTACCACAGCAGTAAAGTTGCAGGAGGATCAGAGTGGATCAGTGTGGGCTGAATCTGGTGAGTGGGATTGTCACAGGGAAGGCAAGCTTGGCCATGCAGGAGAAATGGCAGGGACACAGAAAGAAGCCAGGACACAGGAAAGACAGCAGGGCCTCCAGGAGCCAGGGAAGGCAGGGAGATACTCCGTCTGGCCTTTCAGAACAGCAAACAAGGTCTTTAACCCTTTGACATGATCAAAGCCTGGCCTGTAAGTTTCTGAACTACATGACTGTAGTTGAAGCCAGGGGACGCTAACCCATCCTCGCAGCCAGCCTTGGCAGAATGTTGGCACACACAGCCAGAGATGGCAGAGAAAGGAAAGCGGCGACTCTTGGTGCTATGCTAAGGGATTTTTATGCTTCTAACTTATCAGGAACCAGTCTCATCTTCTCCACGAGAAGAACCGGGAAAAGAAACTTCAGTGGTTAATGACCTTCAGTGGTTAGCTCTGACCTTCAAGTGTCAGGTAGCAGCTTCCCATGGGCTCAGAGGGGGCCTTGCATGAGGCCTGGGAGGAGAGGCCAAGGGGCTCCGGGAAGCTTGGTCCCCAACCTCCACTTTGTCCTCCCCAGACCTCCTGAACACGGCGGGCCTTCTTCACAGGCCAGGCTGGAGCTGCCATGCCAGGTTTAGGCCATTCACAGTGGAGGAAACTGTGTGACTCTGAACCAGTCATCTAGTCACATGCTTCTACATAATCAGTGCCGGGGCGCGTGAGTGACACACCCACCGCAGAGCGCCACCTGCCATTCAAAGACACCTAGCTGGCATAGATACCAGCATACTGTGTGGGTGCACGCACAGGCACACCTGTGCGCGTACATTCGTGCAGCACTCACCTGCAGTGTTTCTAGCTACACTCACTCACAAGTAGCAGGGTTGGTTGTTTTTTTGTTTTTCTTTTCCTTCCAGTTTTGGAGGATTAATGGCCTGATGGTGACAAGTTTTGGGGGAATGGTCGGAAAGCATGTTTTTATGTACTGTGTAAAGTTCTGGATGGTGGCAGGAGAGGCCCCGGGAGAGGAAGATTTATCGTGTTCTGATTCACACTGTAGAACACTCAGGAGGACAATGATGTTAAAACATGTCACAGAGCGGTGCACTGCAGAACCGATTGTGTTAAACTCTGAACATGGCCATCCCAGACTATCTAACTTAGAAAGCACATGGAGGAATGAGTTTTTGGGGGAGCTTTGGATCCCTTAAAACCCAATGGGTCAACAAGGAACAAGTTCTGGACAGAAGTTAACTCCTCACCTGCCATTTCGGATGCCCAGGACCTTGGTGACCCTGTGGCATCTATGTCAAGTACCTAAGACCCAAAACAGCAGCTAGCATTCGAGGCAGGGGTGTTCACTTAGAGGCTTGTGTATCTGTCCTGACAATGCCACTTCAGATAATGTGAGTGGGCTGGAGATGTCACTCAGTTGGTAGGAAGCTTGCCTGGTATGCACAGGGTCTGAGTTTGATCCCCAGCACACACAAGGACACATGCACAGAACCTCAGATTGAGGAGATGAAGGCAGGAGGGTCAGAAATTCAGTGCTGTCCTTGGCTGTATACACAGTGAGTACAGGGCTACAAAAGATCCTGTCTGGAAACAATGGACAAGCAAACATATGTGTCTAAAATTTTTTTCCAGGGGGGCAGGGGGAAGAAATGAACATGAAAGTATATGAAGACTATTCATCAGAGGTTACTATTCTCACCCTCCTCTCTACCTCTGGGATAAATGAGATGGGGAGGGTCTTCTCACAAGAATCCCTGAGCCAGGACCCATCTGCTGGCCTGGGGGTGAAGAAGGTGTGGGGTTTCTCAAGCTTTCCTCTCTCTTTCTCCCCAGTAGGTTCTACCTGGCAGATCCTGTTATCCCTCATGGTCTGGGGGGTCATTTGGGGCCTCTGCTGAAACCAGGGGTGGGCTGTAGCCCTCAGATCCTGCTGTTCCTCTTCTAGTGGTGACTTGGGGCCTCAGCTGGAGCTAAACCCAAGCTATAGCCCTCAAGCACACAATCACCTCAGAACTCTTGGCCTCTGGTCGTGCCTGTGGCTGAGAGCTGGGTTCAGCCACGGGGCTGTGGAACCTGGGCTGTGCCAGGGCACCCTGCCATGGCCTTCCCAGAAAGGCAAGTCTGAGTCAAAAGGTGAGTCACAGGCCCAGGGCCATCACTGAAACCTGCAGAGCCACAGATTTGGAACCCAATGCCTGAGAAGGGTACACACTCACTGTTGGCCCTGGGGGAAAGCTTCCATTCCTGGATTCCAGTGCCAGCTTCAGTGGAGGGAGCAACGGAGAGGGTCCAAAGTGACTGCTGAGTTGCTGTGGGTAGGCCTACAGCAAAGCCAGGGAAGGGAGGTGTCGGTAATGATGGCACAGTGGGGCAGGGCAGTCTAAGGCCACATTCGTATCCACTGTGGTGAACAGTTTAGTGTTGACTGTCAGCACCTGGGATCAGAGTCGAGGAGGTCGAGGCCTCCCTCTCTTTCAGGACACACTGAAGCTCAGTGGCATGTGGTCTCCTTCTGGTCCTCTGCCTTCCTCCTTCACAAATCATAGTCCAAGTTCTCTCTCCAGCCTCCTCAGGGCCACCTTTGGGCCTCAGCCGCTCTATATTCCATGAGGAAGCAGCCCCTTGAGCCCCATACGGCACAGATGCAGCACCTCCCGCAGCCTGTGTGTGCAGCACATGCTCGCCTGCTGGGGTCCCATGTGATGGAAAGACTCCCGCACACTTTAAACTTTAAATCTGGCGATAGACCGGTTGAAATCATGAAGGACTGAGGAGGCACCGCAAGAAAAGGTCCCTTGCTTGCTAGTCAAAAGCTCTACAAAACAGCTTGGATTTATTGCTCAGCCTCCCCTCACTTTGCTCTTTCTTGACAGGGCCCCATGTATTCCAGGCTGGCCCGAAACACCACACATAGCTGAGGGTGACCTTGAACTCTCGGTATTCCAACCTCCAGAAAATGCCAGCATTATAAACTATGACACCACAGCACACTTTACTGTGTCTAAAGCAGATTCTGGTCTTATTCCGGTTCAACACTGAGTTAGGATGAATAACAGCAGCAACAACAAAAGGAAGAAAAATAACAAAAATACTGGATAGAGTGTTGTTTCAGACATCATGAGTTTGATTCCTGGATCTTAAAAATTCCCATATACCCATCAACATATGAGCAGGTAATCAAAACATAAGGTATCTCAACAATGGAACTTTAGACAGGAGAGAGAAAAGAGGGAGGAAAGGAAGTGGAAGGGGAGAGGGAGGAGGAGAGGCAAGGGGAAAGGGGAGGGGAATAAGGAGAGAGACAGACAGACAGACACGGGGGAGATAGAAATGCAGTAAGACACATATGACAGCATGGACAAACCTTGAAAATGTAATGTTTTGGAAAGAAGTCACACACGAAAGGCCACCCAGATGATTCATCCATGTGACCTTCTGTAATGGGGAAACCATTGGAGAAGCAGCGGCTTCTGAGGGTGGGGTGAAAACTGAGGGGCAGATGTGGTTTGGGAGAGTCATGTTCTAAATGGCACACACAGCTGTGAGTGTGTTGAAACCGCACTGAACATTTTTAGTCTGTAGGTATACGAACTACGTCTCAACAAAGGTGTTACACACACACACATGCACACACACCTATAGGGCTGGAGCACAGCTCAGCAGTGAGCACTTGTCTAGCATAAGAGGCCCAGGGTTCCACCCCTAGCACTGAAAAAGAAAAGGATGAGAGGAAAATGTCCCACACCCATAAGACGTCTGTTTGCAGTTTGCACGCAGTGAGAGATTTAGTGTACTGTGCACAGCAGTCTGTCTTCATGCAGCTCCGAAGCCACTTTTCTGTGGAAACACCTCCTTAGCTTAACCCCGTAACATCTTAGTTTTGCAGCACAACAGTCGGGAGATCTCTTTGGGGTGCGGTTAAGAGTGGTTAAGAGTGCAGAAGTCTTTAAATAATGAATGCAAAGAAATGTGCTGGGGATTTGGCTTAAGCACCGGCTTTGCAAAGTCGCAGCAGGAGAAGCATTACTCAGTGTGTCACTGAAACTGCTTATTGAGGTCTGTTACGCAACTGGGCAAACTGGCTTCTATTTCGGGAGCACAGATACCTTGCTGTTTATTCCTGGTCGCTACTGCTACCTCGGCTGGCAGAAGGGTGGGAAAGATGGCCCCCTCAGGAGAGCAGAAGAGAGAGCGAGGTGTCTGCTCTGCCTGGTGCTGTCAGCTGCAGCTTGATGCTCAGTGATTTTCATGTCTAACTTGAGCTTAAAAGGAACTGACTCATCACTAAGCGAATTAAGCCAGCCTCAGAAAGACAAGCACCACATCCTTTCTCCCTTCGGTGGGTCCTGTACTGTAGGAAGAATACGCAGAACCATACGGTTGACACGAGACAGAAGCAAGGCTGTCTAGGGAGGGAAGGGGAAGAATGGAAGCGGTGTGGTGAGATACCACAGGGCAGAAGGCTGTGGCAGGGATTGGGGTGAAGGACCTTATATGTTTGTGTGAGAATGCCCTATATAATCCAGAATGGTAATTAATGAAGTAAGTTACAGAAGGACATTCATTCAGCCACAACATAGAAGTAGAATAAA